ACCGAAGATAAGCGCAATTAGTGTAAGCAACGTGGCCAGTTAATAGAACATTATTCAGGGAGGCAGAACAAACCAAATAAAGCGGAATGAAATTTATCCAGCTTAAAAAGACCTAGTTTAAGTGTATGTTGGTTTAGCCCAACTGCGGTGAAGAAGCATCAAGAATGCAACATCAGCCTCAGCATGGGGCATATATATATATATATATATATATATATATATATATATATATATATATATATATATATATATATATATATATATATATATATATATATATATCATGCAACCATATGCCCGCGCGCAAACCGTTCAGCATCGAGTGCTGGAACGTGCGCACAACTATGAACATACTAATTGCACTGGGTGGGAGTGATATGGATGGTTGAACGTAACCACAAAATGGTAACGCTCACCTACTCGACCGTTGTCTTACGCCAGCTTGAGATGCGTGAAATGCGCACGACACGTGCACTGCGTGGAGCGGAGTGTGGCACTGTTCACAAATTGGAGCGGACCAAATTGTACATATATTCTCGTAAAACTATATATTGCTCAGTTTCCGTGAACCGGTGCAAATATAATGTAGCTGCGGATGCGCTTTGGCGGACGCTCACGACGACGTTGTGAGCGCATTGACACCAGCCAAATGGCGAAGCCAGCTGTTCTGAATGCCTATCAAAGTACACTGTCATCCGAGTTGGATAAACGCTCACTGGTCTCATATGCAACAGGCCTTACTAGCAGCAGGCAAATCCTCATGTGGTATGGCTAATCACCAACATGGACATTGGGTCTCTTTACAGTCTCTGAAACTCATAGACGCTCTCCGGCATATTCCGGCTGGAAGCGAACACAATGAAACTCGCAAAGAGCTAAGGGCGAAACTCCGTGCTAGCCTGGAGAGAGACGGCGAATCCCACTGGTCTCATCGTGCATCAGAAATGGAAATGACCGCTGCCCTTGGTAACCATCGTAAGTTATTGGGTCTGATACGAGAAACGGACAGCAGGATATATTGTGTTAGTGAAACTAAACGTGACGAGAGCGGACAGTCTATCCACAACATATCAAAACGCTTGGAGCGTTGGGCTGAGCACTTTAAAAGGCAATTTAATCGGTCGGAATGGTCAGATTTCTCGCCGGCGACTGATCGTCCCGCTCCCTGGGCTGTCCATTTGGATCCACCCTCTCGCTCAGAAGTCGAACGTGAGATCGATCCGTGAAGCTAAACAAAGCCGCGAGACCTGATGATCTTCCTCCAGCCCTCTTCAAATTCGGGGGATCTGCTCTTGTGGATGATCTACACGAGTTACTAGTCAAACTGTTGGAGAAGTAAACTGGCCCAATCGACTGGATCCACTCCGTCATAGTCCCAATTCTCAAGGGAGGCTCACGATCGGAATGCGGCAGCCACAGAGGAATCAGTCTGATCTCCATCGCCTCCATATTGTTTGCCTCTATCATCCTTCACAGACTGACTGGCACACGTGAAAGCCAGATTCGTGAAGAGCAAGCTGGATTTCGTCTAGGTCGTGGCTGCATTGACCACATCTTCACCTTGCGTCAGTTGTTGGAGCACAGTCAGTTACATTGGCGGCCCACCGTTGTCGTGTTCCTCGATATCAAAGGTGATCGATTCGGTGGATAGACATGCACTTTGGGACTGTCTACTCAGGAAAGGTGTACCTGAGAAATATGTGAATATTATCCGAGCAATATATGCGCGTAGCTCGGGCAGAGTGAGGTCTTACGGCAAGTTGTCGTCGCTTTTTAATATCTTCAGCGGCGTGAGACAAGGATGCCCGCTGTCACCTTTCCTCTTCAAATTCGCTGTTGACGAAGTCATGGAAATCGCGTTCACAGGACACGACTTTGAAGGTGTGGATCTGCTCCCAGGAGAACGACTTCTTGACTTAGAGCATGCTGATGATATTGCCCTGATCTGTGACAGCTCACAAACGTGCCAAGCGGCACTGGACAGATTAGCACTAGCTGTCCGTCACTTCGGGCTTTGCTTCGCACCCTCGAAGTGCAAAGTGTTCCTCCAAGATTGGTCTGGACCGCCTCCTTCGCCGACCGTTGGTGCGGATCAGCTAGAATTCGTTCAAAAATTCAACTACCTGGGAAGTTGCATCAGTGCCCTTGGGATCGAAGATGAGATCACGAACCGTATAGCAAAAGCTCGGAGCGCTTTTGCTAACCTTCGCCACTTATGGCTCCGGTGCGACATCACTTGTCTTGAAGGGTAAAGTGTACAATGCAGCGGTACGTTCGACCCTAGTGAACGGTTGTGAAAGCTGGCCGCTTAAAGCAGCGGACCAGAAGAGGCTAGTTACCTTCGACCACCGGTGCCTTCGCAATTTAGCTCACATCTGGTGGGAACACCGCGTGAGCAACCAGCGTGTTCGACGCCTTGTTTACGGCACAGGAGAAGGAAATGAACCGCTCAGCACCGTCATTTCATGCACCAGGCTCCGATGGCTCGGTCACGTGTTACGCATGCCAGCCTACCGACTCCCGCGACGTGCGTTATTTGCGCGCCGGGGGTGTGGATGGAAGAACAGGAGGGGTGACCAAGCGATGACTTGGTCGAGAGGAATGAAGGCAATCACTTCTGAGCTGGCCTCTGTTGGAGCGCCTCGGCTCCCTGGTTGGGGTCCGAAAGACGATGAGCACGTTCGGTTGGACACACTTGTTGATATGGCTAGGAGCCGACCTCAGTGGCGTTCGTGCTGTGAGTTTCTTTGTCCCACCCCACCCCTCTTAGCCTCTCCCTCCAACCGCGATCTCATTGTTTAGCCTCATATAATTTTGCACGGTAATTGTTTTTTGATGCACAGTGGCCGGCTGGTAGCTTACCGGAACGATGCCCATCCGTTACCGGTAGCTCAGCCGGCTTGCACCAGTTGCATTTTGCTCTCCCCTTTTCCGTGTATTGCGGCCCAGTAACTAAGGTGTTCCCCACTTCTAGCTAACGTGTATGATGATGACGTACTGTGGAGAAGGGAATGGAGCTGGTGGAGGCGACGGCTACTCGGCTTGACGATATCGAATCAATCGTCTCAGTGTGCGATCTGATGCCGAGCAAAACATCGGGCGTGGAAACTGTCATTGTGCTACCAATTTACAATGGCAAAGGAACCAAGTAATGTGTCAAGAACTATTGTGGTAGCAACTTGTTGAGTTGTGTGGGGGAGGTGAATGTCACCTGATTAATCTTCTATTTACTTTCCCAGATCGCGTAATGCAAATGGGATTAAGTACGTTAATCTTTTCCGCGATTGTCACACGTCTCTTTGATCTCTTTTCCTGACATCGTGAGTTCGTCGCGGATTTGTCGATAACCTATTTATTCCACATGCTTATTTTAGCGAAAGTTATATCGGCACATCCAGATGCTTCACACAACTTATTTTAAATCAGTTAGTTCCCCTCGGCAAGTTGAAAAGTGCTGTGTGAGACGAAAATTGGCAGATGTGTGCATTTCGTACCGTCTCGTCAGTGCCGAAGACGGTAACTTGGAATCACATACAACGATTTGATGGTGCAAACAAACATGAAAACAAACAACACAAAGAACAACGAAAGTCGTGGCACTATGTCCAGCGTAATGTGAGATTGACCGACAATTGCTTTTGGACGAAAAGCACTGGTTTACTCCCGTTTATTGCGAGAAACTCAGCAAATCTGCAGGAGCAGAATTTCGAATACGATGCTTACCTCGATCAGATGCTACCTTTAAAAGGCAACTCCAAGAATATCTTCTCGGTTGTGGTTGGCATCTGGTCTCGCATTCCGTTGGTTTATCTGTGCTTCTCGGAGCCAACTCTCACTTCTCCAATTCGAGTGTAACTGCGGAGCCCGTTACATAGGTAGGACCGATAGGATCCAGTGCTACCGAATGAAGGAGCAGGAGCCGAAATAAATTCAATGCGAAATAGCACAACAAACGGCCCAAAGTTAGACTGCACGTGCACACACGCCATCGGCATTTTCGATCGCTAAGCATTTATTGACCTCAGATCATCTGATCGAGGTAAACACAGTATTCGAATTTCTGCGGCGTCACACCAATTCGCGGCTAATGCGAGTTACTGAGATTCTCGCAATAAACCGGTCCTTTGCGTCCAAAAGCAATTGTCGGTCAATCTCAGATTACTCTGGGCATAGTAACACGACTTTCGTTGTTCTTCGTATTGTTTGTTTCATGTTTGTTTGCACCATCTAGTCGTTGTAAGTGATTCCGTTACCGTCTTCGGCACTAATGAGACGGTACGAAATGAACGCAAGTGCCGATTTTCGTCTCAAACGGCAATGTTCAGGTTATTTTATCTGATATTGTCAACTCACGTGGTTGGCTGTTGCTTGACATCCGCGGTGTGGCTGCGCTTGATGTGAATGCTGACAACGTGCCTACCAGTCTATTACCCTGGCTCCAGGAGAAATGTTAGTGGTTGCTGTAGAGGAAGGGGTGCAAGGTCCTCGAGGCGGTGCTAGGCTCAAAGAGTGGTGCCATGTATCCAGTGTGCAATGGGATATGCACCAGCCAGCGCCTTGCTTACGTATGGCTCACATGATTTCCCGCATAGAAAGACAGAAATGCTGCTGCTGTGCATTTTGCAAAATGTGGGCTAGTTCCGCTGATGAAACGTGCCTACCATCCGCATGCCTCCCGGTCTTATTCCTGCGGGTTGCCACTGGATTCGAGATGTGCGGAAGTAGCTGTGGGTGGTGCAGCGCAAGCCACCCACGGTCCCTCGGTAGGCGCATGTGTCATGTAGCTGTTCTATGGAAGCCGTAGTGACAGGCAAAATGGAATCGTATGCAGTCAAGCACATCTGCGGAGAAACTGAAAAAATTTTGAAGCACCAACCAAAGTAGAGGCGCAATCATACCACCGAGGATCGGTCACCAGGTTGCATGACAGATGGAACTTAACTACCGAAGATGGAGGAGAACTCAAAAATTGAAGGTGACGCTCAAATGAGGAAAAACAGTTAATCTACCTTACACAATATTTCGTCCTTTTTCCCGAGGGTGAAACTCATGATGCACTGTTCCGACGTGGCAAAGATCACTGGAGTTTGGAGTTGAGACTGGTCTCGGTATACGTTACGGACGTCCGGAACAGATAGGTGGGAAGCAGATGGTAAAAGAAGGCCCAAACCAGTCACAGGGCTAGGAAACGTGTGAACAAGGTGGCGCTTGCATTGCCTAAGGAAGAGAAAGAGTTAGTGGGGGAGCATCGTATAAGGGTGCAGCATTCAACAACACGGAGGATCATCAGATTGACCACTTAAAATAAGTGAAGCAATCAGAAGTTGTGGCAAAAGTTAGAAAACGATCACGGAAGTGGTAAAATGGTTGTAACGTCATTGATTGTAGTGCAAAATTGCTCACCGGTCCCGAGTTATGTCACCCCTAAGCAACTGAATTTGCCCGGCTGCGTGACCAAAGAGGAGAAATTGGAGGCCTTCGTCAACGAATAGACAGGTGACCTGGAGTACAAAAGATTGAATATCTAGCTAGGTGGAGCTTGTAAGAGGGTACACGACCGCAAGTTGAAGAGGATAAGCGATGTTAGTTTGAGACGCAACATAAACGTGGAAATTTCAAGCAATCAGAAAATCGTTATCGGGTAATAAAAAAACCTAGGGAAAATTAACCAAAAGTTATGCTCCAAACTTCAAAAAAATAGGTATGTAAATGGTCTAAGAATCACGCTAATTTTGCTCGGTGTTTGTTGGTCGCCTTGATTGGCCTTACATTAAAATCTGCCTGTGAGGTATGCTTTCCCGAGGTAAGAAACGGTCTGAAGAATAAGAGCGCAGGAGATTTTGGGAACTCTTCAACTTTAGCTTTTAGTGCACTTCTCCCCAAGTGTCCGGCCAAATAAATACACTGTACGTAAAACACTTTACGCTCACTTGTACTCAGAGCACGCGCATATCGATCCCTTCCTAAATAGTACTCTTCTTTTGTAATCGAATTAGGACACAGTTATTACATACTGTAATGTTAGGCAATTAAAACCTACCTTTATGAGCGCTGGTAGTGATTCACAAACTCTTAATTCAACAGAGAGGCGGTTTTAAACTTCAGCTTATCTGTTTAGGTAGAATTCTCGTTTCACAATTTTCGTGTGGACAAGTCAGAGCGATTGCCTGATTTTGTAAACGCCATATCTACCATCGCAAAAGAATTTCGAATCCCCTGGGATAATACATTGGTCCCGGTCAACGGTCTTACTACTTACAAAGGGCTGTGTATGCTTTGGTCGCTGCACCCCAAGATTTTAACCAAGTGCTCGACTTGACTAGTCTGCATCATCGCAGTGTTCCAGGACGTGGTCGGTTTTCGCCTGGCAAGCGTTCCCCCATAAAAAACTACATGTATCCGCTTAACAACACTGCGGAGTGGCGGATATGACTCGCTGCTTAATAAATTTACTGTCGCTTGCTTCACACTGGTGGAGCATTGAATTCCAGCAACGTGATGCTGAAATCCTAGGAGGATTGGACCTATGTTTGTCAACTGAGCAAACGAAAGGCGAATGAACTGAACAATCAGTAACCGACTCTTGATGGACGACATTCTTAATTCGCCACGCTGGCTTTCGAGCAGGCTATCACAGCAAGAGCTAAGGCTGGTGTCTCCTAAATCAACGCCCTATCCCCGTTTTGGGCAATCGGGTAGTATCCTGCCAACTGATGAAACCATGGGCCGTTTCCTTTTTACCACAACTGTACCTTACTTTGATTTCTACGGTTTTTGACGGCTCAACATCTACGCGCAGATATTTGAAATATATATATATATATATATATATATATATATATATATATATATATGTCAACTGGTTGGCGGCATCTGGTTTCGGAGTTGCCTGTCACTGTGGCCAGCCACAGGACGCCCGCGTCTATAGAGGGTGGGTGGCTTGCGCTGCACCAACCACAGCTCTAACCACATACCCCATATCCAGTGTAAACCCGAAGGAATAAGACCGGGAGGCATGCGGATGGGAACCACGTTTCATCAACGGAGCCGGTCCACACTCCTTCACAGGCAAACACATGCAAACTGTATTTGGGGAATCAGGCGCACACAAGCCGGTGGCTGAAACGTAGTCCACTCCCCAATCAGTGCATGGAACCAATCTTTGAGGCTATCACGGCTACAAGGACCGTTCACGCCGTCCCCTTCAGCAACGATCAACTGTCTCCTGGAGCCAGTATTGACGTGTTGGTGGGTAGTAGACTGATAGACACCTTGTCAACATGCACATCAAGCGCAGCCACACCGGGGAGGTAAAACAATAACCAATCACTTGGAATAGCATTACCAAATAAAATATATCTGTTAAAGCATGCAACTATGCCGAGATAACTCTTTGTTAAATTAGCATATGAATTAAATTGGTTAGCAATGAACCCCCGATAAGTACAAAATGTCCACAAGTTACTCGAAAAATGCTACAAACGCAACAAAATTAACGAATAAAAGTGAAATTGGCGTTAAAAACGTGTGTAAGTTAGTAGAAGCTTATACACGAAAGGCAAAACAAATCAACTAAGGTGGAATGAAATTTATCCAGCTTGAAAAGACCTAGAAAAAGTGTGAGTTGGTTTAGCAAAACTGCGGTGGGAAAGCATCAAAAATGCAACATCAGCCTCAGCATGGGGCATAACATATGAGCATACGAAATAGATTAGGTGCCTAAAAATCCGCTGTATGTTTAAGACGTCAGAAAATGTTTCAAGAAAATGCCACAAACGGGAAAATGTAATCAACAAACTAAAATTTACCTGAGCGAGGCGCGCAAATTAACAGAAAATAGTCCAGGTAGACATTTAAGAGACAACAAATAAAGAGACCCATCACGCAAGCACACGGTAAGTAAATCGAATGCAACGTACCTACAAACGCTGCTCCGGTTCTGCCTACCTTCTCTGCAGGACCCGTCGTCGCTTCGGTTGTGATCCCGAGTGGGATCGTTCATGACTCACTAGGCCTGCCTGACTCACGCACTCGCCACCGCATGTGCTACAGCACCATGAGTTCGCTGTCAATGGAGTACAACCCACCGCCGACCGCCGCTCTTTCTCTGCATGCATGGGGTCTTTGTCCTGCACCTAGGCAACTGACTTCGTAATCAGATCGCGCCATGCACGCGGATCAACCGCTCTCGGTTCCCATGACCTGCAATCAAGAGTAGAACGTGAGAGGCTCACTTTGATCATGTCCTGGTAACGAAGCTTCGGCTTCCCCGCATGCCGCTTCCCAACACTCAGCTGACCATATAATGGCTACTTCGGTATCCGCATCGAATCCATACGCCACACATGACCGAGCCACGTAAGGTGTCTCAGCAAAAGTATGCAGTCCACTGCATACATTCCACTTCGGCGCAGCACTTCCATATCTGCAACTCTGTCGCACCAACCAATGCGCAGAATCCATCGCAAACACTGTTGACGCAACCGCTCGAGATATCGCATATCCCGCCGGTACATCGTCCACGTTTCACTGCCGTATAAAAGAAGGGACAACACCATGGATTTGCAAACCATCATCTTCGTGCCAACGGTAACCTGATGGTTGTTCCACACTCGGTACTTTAGCTTCCCGAATGCCACCGCTGAATTCGATACGCGGATCCGAAGCTCATTGTGCAGCTGCTGGTCAGTCGACACCACACTCCCATGGTAGCAGAAACGAGAGGTGGTTTCCAATACGTCATCAGCAATGCTGATTTGCGGCAATATTGTAGATTGCACCTCCAGTGAAGGTTGAAAGTGACAGACAGTTTTGCTTGTATTGATGGTCAGTCCGAATTTGGTCGCTGTCGAAACCAGAGCAGTAATCATGTGCTGCAACTCATTCGCACTGTGTGCAAAAAACACACAGTCGTCAGCGAGCGGCAACATATGGATAGTTATCTCACAGACTAGGGTTCTCGCACCGAAACGACGGATGTTCAGCAACACACCACCAATACGGTGCACCACACGAACACCGTAAGCACAAGTGGTATCAGAAGCACAAGACATCGTTGCATGAAGATAAATATTAAACAGAGCAGGGGCTAAGACACAGCATTGCTTCACACCAGAGACAACTGCAAAGTCATCCGAGGTCTCTCCACTCAGCTGCACCCTCGCTCGCATACCACTGTGCAGACATTCAATTAAACTTACAAACTTACGCGGGCAACCAAACCCACCCAGCACCAGCCACAATGCCTCGCGGTTCACCGTATCAAATGCGTATCAAAAAGCGAATGCAACGGCGGGTGTCGCTCTCTCCACTTCCGCTGCAACTGACGAACCGCAAACACCATATCGATGGTGCTGCGACCTGAACGGAATCCGCATTGCTCTTCCGCCACGTTCGGTTCCACAATCTGACTCACGAGGCGATTGAGCAGGATTTGGGCAATCACCTTGCCCACACAACTCAGCAAGTTGATGCCACGATAATTCGTGCAACTATGCTTGTTCCCTTTGCCCTTGTACAGTGGTAGTACAAGCGCATCCTACAGCTAAGTAGGCACCTCCTCCTCAACCCACACACGTTGCACCAAGTGGTGCAGCGCAGTCACCAACGCGGGTGCACCGTGTTTCAATACTTCAGGCGGGATCCAGTCGGCACCGGCACAGTTGCCGTTTTGCAGCTAAGCAAGTACTCTCTGCGTCTCATGCAGTGTCGGCGTGTCCTTCAGACTCGCCTTCACATCATGCTGCTTCAGGCCGTTCAAATTATAGGCCAATCGATCTCTTAACGGTTGTTCAAAAGACAGTTAGTGTTTTTGTCAGATCTGCAGTGTCTGCAATCGGTGTGTAGGTAGCGCATGAACCACCATCGATTAGCGTCCTCAGCGGCTCCAACCTCGGTCCATACACCGCGTTCAAGGAGTCAAAGAATTCCTTGTGTTGGCAGCGTTCGACGTAGCATTGCATCTGCTTCGCTTTCTCCATCCACCATGCATTTTTAATGCGACGGAGCTCTCGAGTCAGTCGTCGTCGAAGTCGCCCAAACTTTCTCTTCTTCCCCAAGCCACTGTGGTCCGCCGATGGCTGAGTGGTCTGCGCACCTGCTTTGCCACTATAAGGTCCCCGGTTCGGATCCGCGTACGTGTGGGCGTCCTCGCGGTATATCCAGCCTGTGCGCAACTGATAGTGCTCGCGCAGTAGCGAAGTGCCGTTACGGCGTATAGCTGACACATTCTTAACCATTCTTGCACATATGCAGCAAGTGTTGTATTCTCCTCACACACTAATGCGCGAATCGTCGCATTGTTCTTATCAAAGCAATCAGGCCGCTTACAGTTTGCGCGCCCGATGGTCTCCTCGGCAGCAGCTGTCACCTGGTTACGGATGTGGTGACATAGGCGGTCCACTGTGACTATGCATCCCACATCACACACTCGTTTAGCCATCGGCTTCTCCAGTTCAAGACATTCTGCGAAAGTACCGGGGGAGAGAATTTCAAATTTACGCCGATTCACGGCGGGAGTGCAATACATACATTTATGAAAATATATGTACAGTTTGGTGTGCATCAATTTGTGATCAGTGCCGCACAGCTCCACGCAGTACACGTGTCATGCGCACTTCACGCATATCACGCTGACGTACGATGACACAGTCGAGCAGGTGAGCGTGACCACTCCGTGGGTGTGTCCGAGTTGCTATATCACTCGCACTCAGTGCAAGCCGAGTGTTCGTGATCGTCAGGCCGTGAGTGGCACAAAGTGAGGGCAGCCTGTCCTTGCTCGAACTCGATGAACCAATGTCATGCGAACCGATAACATCTGCCCACACCGACGTATCACGCCCAACGAGCGCGTTGAAATCACCCAGCAGAAATAATCGGTCTCTCCTCGGCACATACCGTATCACGGAGGATAGCTTAGTGTAGAATTGATCACGCTTGTCATGAGGATAAGACATGGTCGGACCGTACATGCTTGTAAAGGTGGCAAACTTACTTCTTCCGAGTCGTAGGCGATCGGTCATCAGTCGCAGGCTGAATCCTGCTGGTTCACCCACTAGGTGGCCAGGAGGCGATCGGATATTGCAAATCCGACTCCATGTTCATGTGGTGTTGAGGTGGCGTTGCCCACTTAGTAGCACGTGTAGTCAGCACATGCTCCATGCAACTTACCTTGCTCAACGAGCCAAGTCTCACTGAGCGCCGTAATAGTGATTTTGCAACGCGCCATTTCCATCGCGAAAAGTGCAGTGTGTCGCTTGGGGCGCTTACTGGAGTTCCGGTCCAGTAGTGTGCGCACGTTCCAGCACCCGATGCTGAATGCTTTACGCGCAGGCATAGGATTGCATGATATATATATATATATATATATATATATATATATATATATATATATTATTGGTTTGCTTTAATTGAGACCGCAGACAAAATGCAATTGGGCGGGACGGAACTGCAGCGCGGCCGGCATGCCACTTTAAATTTCCGAGCGAAGCCGAATAAATCCCCAGCCGGTAAGCTCAGAGGGGTGTTTGCGATTGAATGTTCAGGGGTGCTACAGACGTATGTTTCATGTATAGGCAGGTGCACGTTGTAGAACCTACTCCCATCGAGTACTTGCTATCATGTGTTGTACGAACCACACGGCGCCGAGACTACACATTAACAGCAGATTAAGTACTTAATGGAGACAGTGTTTTAAAAATGGAAATCAGTTGTGTTATGAATGTCAAGTATAAGCACCTAACAAAAGATGCTGTTGGAAGGGACCCATACCACAAGGGTGTGATTCAATAGACAGCATAATAATAAACAAACATATTCTGAAATATAGGGTTCGACCCGATGCGCTGCCCATCCTATAAAGCAATCGAAGTTCGCCGCATAGCGCTCCGATGGGTGCGATGCACGTAGTTGTTCATGATGCCATTGGAATAGTTTTATACTATCAACAGTTGATATTTAAGCACAAAACACTAAGTTCCTTGTCACCACTTTTTGCGACACGAAAGCAGCTGGGTGTATAAAATAAGGGCTTCTAAATATGAAAAGAAACAGTGACCACTGCAGAAAAGGCGATAAGGAGCACAGACGAGAGCTAATAAAGCCATTCATTCTCCAGACGAGTAAAAGACACTTACCGGGCTCGCAAGCTGTCCGACTGGACCAGTGGGCGTGCTGCGATAACATAATGGGGTTGGTTTGTTGGACCACTGCGGAGAAGAATGAAGGATGAGAGCCGAAGCAAAATGAGGAAGCCAATGATGTGCCCGACGAGAAAGGATAAGACAGCAATGGAATATCGCGGGTAATAGTATGTCGCACAGACTGTTCGTTAACAAGAAAAGGCGAGCGCTTGAACCCGATCTGCGTTACTGTAGGGCTGTGTGGAACTATTCAGGTGAAGGGACTCAAAACCGAGAGAAAGAAGTTGCAGATGAAACGCCTGAGCCAATACACCACAGGTACCCGAGTGGACAGAGGACGAACATCTGAATCGAGTGTACATTAAGCACAAACGACGAGAACCAAAACAGTGGTTCCGGTGTAAAGGATGTTCACTGTAATGAATTCATCGTAGAAGCTAGTGGATATAAAAAATGATCAGCATGACAGATTCCGCCGTGCATATATGAAAAAATAAGATGTTCGTCAAAATGATCACATGTGACGTACGTACAAAAAGAAACCGAGCTTCTGCTAGACTGAAAACAAGCTTCCAAAGAACCACTGTAGGAAAAAGGCACAACTTTCAACTAGGAATAATAACGACTTAGTAGATGAATATTTTCTCGCTTTCAGTATTTTACTTTTCTAGTAAAGAAAGAGTCAAGTTCTATCTAGTATTTCTCTCCTAAATAACTTGTGATACTTAAAAATTACCAGGTTGTTTCAGTTCAGTTTAGTGCAGTAGATAAACCTTGGTCCGCGCATTAAAGTGCCGCGGATGCAGTTACCACGACTCGCGTCGCCACATTGGCAATAAGGAACAATTATAATTAAATGCGGTTGGAAGCAAGAACGAGGTGCATGAAGCTAATCGCATTGAAGTACGAACAGTTGAACGCAGGCGAACGAATGTAGGGACAGCACTGACTCCGACAATGTCTCAAACCATTGGTTTGGACTAGCACAAGGCCTCCCTGATCAAGTCTCTGGGTCAATTTCTTCATACCCATATGCCACGTCATCGATTGAACACCTCATGATTTCGTCCAACTTGGTGCAGCGACGGGGTATAATGCTCGCCGAGGAAGGCAGTTAACTGGTGTATGGAGTACATGATCTAACCAATGTTAGCGATTCAACTTCAACGGGCACTGAACTGAGGCACCAGAGAGTTTTTTGCCGAAGACCAACTGGCGGACCTCAGCATTGCTCACCCTGTATTCCGCCCAGCTCGAATCACTGAAATGGTGAACTGACAAAAGAACTGTCTCCACCTCGTCTGCAGACTGAAATGCCACTTGAGGTAATCTTGGTTCCCCATAGAGTTGTTATCCTGGCGAACAATGCGAACCAATTTGGTCGGTTTAGGTGGGATTTCTATTTCCTGACATATGTTCCCACTGTTTCAGTTCGTTGGATAACTTGCCTATGATAGAGCTTGCTTTCGAGTCAGGCACATTAAAACATTATCTTTAGCGAGTTCTGCTACATTTTAGTGATCCCAATCATAAAGAGGGTGTGTGCTTTCGTTCGCTGGCGGTTTGATAATTGGCTTTCTCTGTGCCGCAGTAGCGTTCGTGCTAGTTTTAGCGATCTTTGAGGCGGTCACCGTTGCGCTCTTGCGCGCAGACAATAGACGGGTATGTTGTCAGGTTTTCGTCGGCGGCGGATTAGCGTGGATGCAGTGGTTCAGCGTGTGACACAGTTTCACTTCTGGGATGTCCCGGAGTAAGTAAAAATTGCCCAGAAAATCCACTATTTTAGCGATTAATCGATTATTAACGATTATCACATCGATTTCGGACGTTCTGGAGTGTTCTAGTTTCTGCATGTGACTAGAAACCACCTGACACCTCGGCAAAAGCTATGGAGATCCACTAACCCTGGTAGTTGACCTTTCAATTCTAGAAGTCGAAGGTCAGTAAGAGACCTACAAATTAAGCTAAGGTCCGCGGTAATTGTAGTGTTAGTTGACGGCGATTAATACGTCATTTTGTCAAGGTCATTGGCGTTCTGCTTTTTCCTTCGGTTGGGCTAGAAGTTTTGTGGAGCAGTAAAGTGTCAATTTCGGAATCGCGTCTAGTGAGAAGATCAGAACAAATAGTGACAGAGAAAATTGGAAATGTGATGAGTTTTTCCGATGAACGATTTCGAAAGCTGCTATTCCGACAGTAATCTCAAATGGAGACACGAATGAAAATGATCGAAAATCTGACAATGCTTGAGTTTGTATACAACAGGAGCAGCGAGGCAGGACATGCAAGCAAGTTCAGTTGACCTTCTCCCGGATGTAACCACTGAATTCAATTATGATGCGGATTCTGGATGCATATTCGTAGCGTGATTCAAGCTCTGGGAAGACATGTTTCGGAAGGACTTCAGTCGTCAGACGACTTTTTGAAGATGAGATTGCTACTACGCAAGCTCGGAATAAGTAAACATTCAACACTCATAGACCACATTCTAGCGAAATGGGTCGCGGGTTTTTGGATCACCGTGTCCCGGATACTACTTTTGCTTTAGATTACCGTGTGTTCAGCGTTTTTCCTGAGTGAATTGTGCACAAATCTTCTTCTTTTGGCGTATTTGGCAAACGGTGCAAATTCAGTGGCTATTAGCTAGGTCCGGAGATCTCAGTGATTTGCCATAAGGCCACCTCTGTAGGCCATTTTGGATTTGCTCTACCTTGTGATGCCGTCTCAAGCTACTTGTGGTTCGTATTAGAAGGATGTGGGAAATAAGGCTCATGCACTTCGGTGCTTCGGCTGCAATGTTTTGTTCCATTTTTCGTGCACTGGCTTATCCGTTGACGTGTTTCGAAAATCTCTCGACATCAGACATCGGTATTTCCAAGTTATATGTGGTAAATGTCGCAGTGCAAGACAGCAGAATACACAGTGATCATCATCATCATCATCATCATCATCATCATTATCAACAACAACAACAACAACAACAACAACAACAACAACAACAACAACAACAACAACAACAACAACAACAACAACAACAACAACAACAACAACAACAACAACAACAACAACAACAACAACAACAACAACAACAACAACAACAACGGGAAAAGCTCTCTTGCAGACAGAAACAAACCGTTCACCACGTGGGATCAAACGCCCTCGTGAAAGTACCTCTATCAGTACAGAGACCACAGGCATCCAGATTTCCACGAAATATTTGATCCCAAACACAGACCAGGATGTATCGATCGTTCACACGTGGATAGCCTGCGCCTCGTCGCGGAGAAACATACAGGGCCGTGGAATTTGTGGTAGACATAGCCGCAATTGCGTGCGCCGGTGCATCGTTTGAGATCCGATTGGATATCCGGACTGCCGTTAGAATTCCTTTGAGTTTTCGCAGGGCGCGCAATGTGCGGCAATTTACGGTGCGTCAATGAAAATCGGTAGCATTTCCCAGACGGGCTGTAGATAGTTGCGGACAAGAGATGCGCTAGTCGACACATTGTTGTGAAGCAACATGCAAATCCGGTTTGCGCACAGTCCATTTATATTCCTGCGCACAGGGTTCCACAAACGAGTTAGAATTACCCGGTAGACTATCGTTTACCATCGGAACACGTGGTACAAGTTCCCCTGATAAGCAATGGCGTTTGCTGTCAAAAAACAATCACCTTGATCATTGATTGACTGATGCGTGCTTGTTTGAACGAGGAGATCCTTTCCCCATCCACTGTGACGAGTGCACCTTCGTTTCAATATGATAGCCAAGAAACAACGCCACATCGCCTGTTGTGATTAGCTTAAAAAGTTTTCCTTGTCTTTGGCAGTGGCAAGCAGTACATGGTTGATTTCAGCACGTATTTTCTGATCATCAGTTAACAGAAGCAGCACAAACTGTGCACTAATATGACACACTTCGAATTTGTCACACAAAATTTAATGGTTCGATAATACGCTGCTGCCTATTTCGTTAGCAACTTTCCGATCAGTTAGACAATAATTCCCAAGAACTCTCTCGATGTGGTTATCGTCTGTTGATGAGGAAGGTCGTCCAAGCTTGGGATCGTCACCGACCGACATTCTACCATATTCAGAACGCTGCGACTCACACTACAATCCCAGTATGATTGGTTAAGTAACTGAACTGTCCCTGTAAGTGTTTTGTCAAGTTTGTAGCAAAATTTCAGAAACACTCACGTTGTTCTTTAAGGTTTTTCATAGTCACTTTAACACTAATCCGACCAGCTTCTTGTGCACATATTCATCTCAGTGGTCAAACAACGCTCAGAATGAGACGCAGTAAATGGGAGTTTGTTGTCTAAACAAGCCTGTACGTGGATAGTTTCGAAGCTAGTCCCTCCAAACACTGCGCTCCATGACCGATTGGTTATGTCCTGATTTGGACTCTACAGGGAGAGATAGCCTGAACTCAGAGTGGAACTAGACACACAGTGGTTGAAGGCATAGGTGTTGATGGGAAAACAGTTATCTCCGGGAGCAGTGTTCGACAAAGCCGTTAGTAGTTCACTGTCAGGTATTGGGAATACCCGCCGCAGGTATTCCTCTAACAACCCAACAAAGAGGCCATAAGGTGAGCTAAGTAGCCGCAGCGCGCCCCCTTTGCCGGTTGGCGCGCTAGTACAAAAGTTGGTTTTGTTGAACACAGTAGTATGGCGAATGTGGATCGAAGCGGGCGCGCGCTTCCTTGCAGTGACAAAAACAGAGGTAGGCAAAAAAGCGAAAAATGCTGAAACCGGGTGTGCTAAGGTAGACAGTTTAAATAAGACGAGGAACAACGGAGAGAAGACTGAGAAGTGAGAGACGTACTTTAGCTACGTTCCACACTTTTAATCGTTCCTCATCGCCTTCATCAATCTAAAAAAACAGAAAGCGTATACAGTCAAGTGGGCCAGAGGACCACAAATAGGTTCTACGGATAAAATGCAAACCATTTATTCACCCCCACTGTTAGCAGTATGTTGTGGCGTCTCAGCGGACAGACTTGCCGAACAGCTTGTGAATGAGCCTTGAATGATACGATTTGTTGTCCACGATCCATGCGATGTAAAAACCCGTTCGCATCACCCATCCAAAGGAACCCACCTCCAGACGCAGCCCAGGTCAATGGAGCTTCCTGACAACAAAAGGGACACAATCATAAATCTCGTAAATCCGGAATAAGTAAAGAGGAAGACAGGAGAAACTTGGAAAAATGAAAAAATAATATTGATGTATGTTCAATGCAAGCGACGGTTAAACCCAAGCTGCAGAACAGTTAGGTGCCGAAATGCAAGGCTCAATAATCCATAACAACAAAGCCGCCACCCTACTTAAAACGGAAAGTAAAGTAAGAACCTTGTGGGATAACTGGTGAAATATCCTAATCGCATGTATGCTGATCGGTTAGGAAAATTTCGGAATGTAAACAGATGTTACTAGCAATGGTGGTCCAATAGGATCACACCAAACAATCAGTGATTTGCCCTATGCAACATTAAAATTTGGTTCAGTTCGGTTTGAGGAAACACTTCAAACGGACACCGAGATGCCACGACTCGCGTCGCTAGAATGGTAATAGGAAACAGTAGTGAGGACAATAAAGTGGAGAAAAACCAGAGAAGAGAGGGGTCAAGGAAAACTGAAAAAAACATTCAGAATGGGTTACCAACAAGTAGTTTTAATAAACCGAGTGCCACGTTAGACAAGGATTACAAACGCTGATGTGGCCATACCTAAGACCCAAATCCACGAAGGTGACATGTGACGTGGAACTCAACTTACACGAATTAATAATGCCAGGGGTTAATTCTTAGAACAAAAAGCGACAAAACGTGTATGCAACCGAAGGTTCGGAGACCAAGTGAGGGAACTGACGTGCCGGCAATCTTTTTGCGAAACAAATGCCGACAAAAAGACCACGAGGACGAACGCAAGCAAAGAACAGGTATCAATCATGAATCCAAGTGACAAAGCAAATTCAAGACAAGCTTCATAAACTCTTGTGCAAGCATTTTTCACAATTTACACTAGCAATGCACAGTATCAATGGAGAAAAAACAAAGTGACGAGGAAGACAAAATGACAGCATTACAGTGCTCTTTTTGCTTATTCGAATGGTGACTAGATTTTAACTAGAAACCTTGAAATTCGCTGGATAATTGGTTTTACATGTTCTGTTTGTCTTTTGGGAAATTCCGCTTCGTTTGGTAAGCTGTTCCTTTTCTCGAATCGTCTGGAAAGCTCAAGAACCGTGATTACACAACTGGATAGAGTCGTCCCGCCTACGCTAGGTGTCATACCTCCGGTTCAAAACCTGTCGCACATTTACTTCCCACTCCTTTCTGATGACCGTAAGTCAATTTTTTCGGCTAATTGTATCTGATTGCATATTGTACTCCATAAGAGAAACGGCTTTGCTACCTCGCCGACGTAACAACACTTTGTAGCACAGCTAGAACTGACATTTTCTTCCACCTGCAATACCCGTAACTAACTGATAATCTCTATCTGCTTTTGAGCAGTTGAAAGTCATTAAACCCTTTCGGTCTCATCCCATCCATGGGTTCCATATACCCCGTTGAGTAACGATTTTTCTACTCGCAATTCCAATCAGTTAATGATTTTCGTGGCTTTTCCAAACAACTCGTGATTGATTACGCCGCGAGTTATCAGGCATTGTTTCGTCGCTTAGTGCTCGCTCCCCATTATAACTATTTAGACTAATGAGGTTTCATCATCTATTATCTCCATGACGATTTCCTTCACTAGTTCACCCATCTCGCCGCTGATTTACAATGGACTTCGTCAGGTACAATCTTGTGGCCTCATCCGTAGCGCCATGGTCGAACCACCCCCGCATAAAGATGAATGCCATGTCTTTCAAGTCGGATTCAAAATATGCTGGATATCATCGTCGGCGTCCTGCGGACTCACGAATAAGGGACGCTGCAAATAATACCTACACAGTTTATGATCGACATTTTCGAACTGGATGGGTGATGACACACCATCGGTGTACTCATTCGGAGGATTAATTGATCTTCACAGCCTCTCGGGCCGCAACATCTAGGTGGGTACTGGTATGTGGAAGAGGATCAGCATTTGGTGCAAATGACGGCAGAATTAAGTCCTACAGTATTTCTACCAAAGGATTTATTGTGTGTTTCATTAACAGTTGCTGACGCAAACGGTCCCAGCTATAAAGAAAAGGCTGAAGCATTTGCAACTGCGGCAACCTCTTCCCAAAGCTTCACAAGGTGACCGACGCCCGTCTCCCCTAGGCTCGCTAATGTGATGTCCTAGCTTACTTCCGAGGCGGCACATTATCTCACTGACCCGTTCTGTCCAAGCTGTGGATTTGAGCCTATGAACGTCAGCGACACAGGTCTTTATTTGTTTTCCGGCGCTCCCCGACCTTCATTATCAGGGTGGCGGATTCGCTGGTATCACTAAAAAGACCGAACGGCCTCTGCCGATTATCCTCCCAAGTAATGGAGTCACACACCAACACCACAATCTATGCTATCACCTTATCTCCATAAATTACCAACAGGTGGATCATCTTCGCCTGTCACGACCAATGTTCCGACCAAAACCGGTGGGCTTCCGGATACCACTGCAACCAAGCGATTTTCCTCAACGGTGACTCATGCCACTACCCTACAGACCCAACCTATGGTCTCCACTTCTGCCACACCTCTGTGTTACTGAACAATATGCTAGTCCTCGTTTCGAACATGTTTGGGCCCGAAAACAATAAATGGCTGCGCCTCGACAGTGTGAAGCACAGTACAACTGAATGGTTACATGGCAGCGCATGGTCGCAATTCTTACGGTTTTCTATCCACCGAGTTCGGATACAAAGACCCACAGACATTTCCTTACAAGCGTAGTATTACTCGACATTGTAGCCTCACTCAACCCGTCCAGTCCAATGCAAGTGGTTCAGCTCCACTTCCACTTTATTCACCTTTTTGGTCTAAGTTAGAAGACACCGTATTGCTGACTAGTGCACGGGCTTTGGTACC